TCTGCTTCCTTAAGTGCTTGGCGCCGTATTTTACGCCTATTAAGAGGAGCAAACATTATTGTGAGAAAAATGGGAGCACAGAGAACACCAAGAGGAGTGATATAAGGCAAAGACAGTCAATGGCAGCGTTGACTGGGACACGACGTGCGCAGTGCAGCGTGAGAAAGCAAAAAGTGGCACCAGCGAGAGCCGGAGGGTTATCGGCCGCCGAGGCTAATCGATAATCAAGTGCAAGTATGCGCGGCCGCTTGCGCCCTTCGCGTCGCCGGCGCTGCCGACCCAGGAACCAATCAAATCACGAGCAGGCTAAAGAGCACCTACCCCCCTAGAGTACGTTAGCTCGCGGCGAGCTCGCTTGCTATTAGGGGCACCGGTGCGCCCCTAGTGCGGCCGCAGTATACCAGTTCATTTTCGTCGTCTGCCGAGTATCTCGATAGACCAATATTAACTAGATATTGAGGACAAAACAGATACTTAATCGATATACATACTTCGATAAATCGATGTCTTCTGAATATACCTTGCCACTAGGGATGGAAAACCACACCCGACAACGTGAGGATGCAAAAGCCGCGTCAAAGCATGGCGACATTAGTTCTTGTGCGCATTTTAGCATACTCAAACAACAGCACAGAAAAGTTCAGGAGTATAAATAGAGAGCAGTCAGTGTAAGTCAGTTTAAGTCAGTTTATTAAGGGAATGAGGCTTTCGCCCTTGAGCTCCCTATTCATATCGATAAACAGAAATAAAGTCATCAATTACATCAGCAAATGCGAAAAGCTAAAAAGTTATCGGTGTGTGAGCTAGGCGCAAACTGCCGCCGCTAAAACAATCATTATTATATGTACAGTAGGTTCTCAACAAATGAGCGTCTAGTCTCCACTTAAAGGATTTGACACTTTCGGAAAGAACGACGGCATCAGGGAGTCCATTCCATGCCCCGATGACCCTGTGAGAGAAGGCGTTCCGTCGGACGTCCGAATGAGCCCGCTTCCTTTGCAGTTTGAACGGATGACCACGCAGACGGTCGGTCCGGGCCAATTCAAAGAATTCATCAAAGTCTAGGGCACACTCACGGCTTCTGACAATCCTGTAGGTTTGAATGAGCTCACCGCGCAGTTGCCTGTAATTTAGAGGAAACAGATTTAGTTCGGTCGGCCTGGTTTCGTAAGGCAAATGATGAAGATTCTTGACCATCTTCGTAGCCATCGCCTTTACGCTTTCCAGTCGTTGATAATCTTTCTTCAACCACGGTCGCCAGGCCTGGACTGCATACTCTAAGTGACACCTGACGAATGCCCCATAGGTTTTTCCGAACAGCTGTTTATCGATCTGCACAAATCCTCGCCTCAGCGCAAATAACACCCTTATCGCACTTTTAGCTGCCCTTTGACACTGTGATGATGGTTTCAGCGAGGAGGTCATTAGGACGCCCAGGTCTTTCTGTTCCACAACATTTGAAAGGGACTGACCACCAAGGACGTATCGAAAGGAATCGTCCTCCTTACTGGTCCGTCCGGTGCGGAGTCTCAGGACCACACATTTGTCTACATTAAAATTAAGGAGCCAGCGAGCTGACCAACTGTTCAGGCGGTTGAGACTGTCTTGAAGCGCGTACCTGTTTGCGTCAGATCGGGTGGGTCTCCACAGCTTACCATCGTCAACAAACATGATGGCGTTGCATCCCAGGTCGTTGACGAAGTCGTTAATGTAAACCAGGAATAGCAACAGCCCTAAGACGGAGCCCTGAAGCACATCACTTTGAACGGGGCTAGGAGTTGACCTTGAGGCCTCAATGCACACGGTTTGCGATCTCCCGGTAAGAAAATCTGTTATCCATGTCAGCAGCCTTCCTCTTATCCCAATTTCAGAAAGTTTGTAGATTAGGCGTTTGTGTGGGACGCTGTCGAACGCTTTCTTAAAGTCTGTGTAGATGACATCGACCCTACCATCCTCGTCCACTGGGCGAGTCCACTGCTCCGTCGAGAGCAATAAACTGGAAAGGCACGAGCGGTTCTGTCTAAAGCCGTGCTGCAGGTCTGAAATTAAATGGCCCTGCTCCAGGAATTCCATTGTTGCTTTCTTAGCTATGGCCTCCATTACTTTACAGCAGATACAGGTTAGACTAACAGGCCGGTAATTGTTAGCATTAGTGCGAGCAACACCCTTGCATATCAGAAAGATATTTGCTGTCTTCCATTCCGATGGCAGCCTCCCTAATTCGAAAGTCGGCTTTGACGATGTTCACCGTGTGCTCCATAGCTGCGTGATAACAGGCATGGTAACGTGTGTGTGAGTTCGTTGAAGGCGATAGAAGACTTTCATAGCGTATATCGCACTCCTTCATCCTTCCTCGTTGCTTCACATGATAGAAAGCTGGACTTGAGTATTCGATTCAGCGAATGATGTGTAAACCAGGCTGAATAGCCGTTGGGACAATCTTTTGAGCTCGGTTGAAAGTCTTATTAATTGGCTGCACTCAAATTGTTCATGTTAATGGCCAGAAGACTATGGAGTCTGAAGTTGACAGTACTGTGGCTCAAGGATCAGTTCTTTGCCACACTCTGTTTATTATAATCGTCAACGACTTGGCCAAAGAAATGAATTGTGAGGTCGCCATACTTTCCGTCGATATCAAAGTCTAAAGACTCATCCGATCCGAATTCTGCAAAAGAGTCCGCGGGCAAACCCTTAAAAGAAGAAGTAACGTTCGAATGTTTGACTTTTATTTTTTAATACGAACAAATATAGCATTCTCCGAACCTGAGGTATCAGATCTCCGAACCGCATGGTTTACAGCATGAATGGCATACAACTGCAAACAATGGGCGCCCATAAGGACTCGG